GCGAGTCAACTCTCTGTATAGCTATCCTTATATCAACTAGCAAAAAACCCTTGTTCCTTTCTAGGGAAGGAACATGGCCCAAATGACTATAGTGAGTGGTCAGGATTGAGAACCACTCACCTAAATTGAAGAGGGAAAGTGAATAGCACAGAACCATAGTTTCAAAGTATGATCAAGTAACAGGCAAGGTCCAGGAGGTGGTGAGTGGAAATCGCTTCAACAGGGCAGAGATGAGAGAGAAGCAGCACTGGCTGGGTAAAAGTCAATTCAGGTGAGGGAGTTAGATGACTCTCCCCAATGTTTTGTGGCTCCCTAGTTGCAGTGTGTAGCTTTGGATGATTAGGCAACACCAACTTGCCTTGCCATCAGGAAAGTCGTAATGGACTTTCTATAACAGAAGTCCAGCAGTTGGGATGTAGCTTCCTCTTCAACCTCAACAAAGGACTGCCACATTGCCTGCCACTATGTAAAAACTGCTGGGTGTCAACCTCCATTCACTGAGGAGGGATCACTCCTTCTGCCAAGCCTTTGGTGGGGCTAGAAAAAACAATTCCTGACAACACTGAGCCAGCACATTCATCTGGGTCAAGCTCACAGTTGGAGGAACTGGAAGAGAGCAGGCTGAGAAGAAACCTCCAGCTGAGGCCTTTTCAGTCTCAAGGGGAATGAAATCAGAATACACACATTCATAATGGAGATTGTCCAGGGAATAATGGTATCCCACTCAGACAGGGGGCATCAATGTGTTAGAATTCAGACCACAGATTCCCCCAAAGTACTAAATTTATGAAGTTGATCACCCCAAGAGGTAATAAAAATTCTCAAAACTGGTTTCCAAAAGTTGCAAAATGATTATGTGTAAACAGGTTCTTTGGGAGTCATGTCTGATTTACCAAGGCAAAGGCTGAGTTCTCCCCAAATGTGTGTGTTAGGGTTTGTCAGACTTCTGAGCTGGGACCATGGATCTGACCTCCTGTGACATTTAGCCCTATTAGAATCAACATCCAACCTGGGAAAATGGTGTGCACCTGTAGTCCCAGCTTACAAGCAAGGCTGAGGCTGGACTATCACTTGACCCTATGAGTTTGAGACCAGCTTAGGCAGCATAGAAAGACCCTGGCACAACAAACAAAAATAAACAAAAGACCCTGCAGAATTAACCTCCTTTCTTCTAACAGAGCCACTTTGTTGCCTAAGCCATTAGGGTTGAGATAAGGGTACTTGGTTAAAGGGTAGATGACTTATTACTCTCTTAAAATACATGACTTCTCATCTCTGAGGGCAAATATACATTTTTTTCTGGTGCTGAGGATCAATCCTAAGGCCTCACGCATGCTAGGCAAGTACTCTACTACTAAGCTACAACCCAAACCTGAGAATTCTTATAAATGATATCTCCCTGTGAGACAGATGACGACAGTATAGGCACAGTCGATGGAGACTGCAGCAAAGAGGAACCCAGTGATACAAGTGTCCCTCCTCAGCTCTTTCTCACCAAAATCACATTGTGACTTTTCACACAACATATATTTATTCAGAAAAATTGCAATAAATTATAATAAAAAAGGTGACACGAAATACAGAATCCCACTAGCAGCTTTGCTTAGTGACCAAGACATTTTTGGGAAATATAACAAAGAATTACAGAGTAAGAATCAGAAAACAGTGAAAGGGAGACTAATGCAATGTCACCCTATGGATTTGAACCATTTCTTCCCTAAAATGACACATGCAGAGTCCTTCCCTACCAGTTGAATCTGAAAGCCTTGATTCAGAAGAACTATGAAATAGTACCTTGGAGGAACTAGGAATTAGAGATTGGGTGCTGGATAGGCATGGTAGGGAAGCAGATTTCTTTTGCCTGATTTATGTGCTGTCTTCCCTGCCTACAGATTGTCTAAAAGCCTCAACCCTGTATATATTCCAGGACTAGCTGGAAAAAGGTTGAGGCAGTAAACCAACTTAGTGCTTTGGCCTGATGAAGAAAGAAAGGACACTATATTGTGCTGTATAGGGTCCCTACTAACCACATCCTTGGTCACTCAAAGACCCCAGGTTGGCAATATACTAAAAAATAAGCCCAGGAAAGGGATTTCCCAATGTTACAACCTTGATCCAGCTCCTATCATCTGCCTATCTCTGTGATCACTTTCTGATCTAATGGATATGATAAAACTGTTCTGCTCTTCGTATGTCATTAACTAAATTCACTGCTCAGCCCGACCTGTCAGATCTTCAGCTGTTTGGCATCAATAATGTGACTCCTATTTCCCTAGCTCTCAATTGGAAAAGGGTTTAACCAGTGTATTGCAGGATACATACCTTTTGTTCCCCAACTTTCAAGAGTTACGGCAAGTGGAGAACCATTCAGTGATGGAGGTTCCGCTGGCATGCACTAGAAGAGTCATGGAATCAATGCGCAATACTGTACAAAAACCTTATGCTCCTTGTGTCCAATATTAATAGGCAAGAATGAGTCAACTTGGGGTAGTTTTAAAGAAAGAAAACCAGGAGAGAGCCAATTTCATCAGGCAATTTTGCAGTCAGTGGATGGTGGTTTTTTTGTCAACCAACAAATCAATTTAAAAAAAGACTGTCCCACAAAGCTTGAATAAATGAAAAGCTCAGAGAGTTATCTCAGGTGGGAGAGGTAAGGTGTGTGGCTGGTTCCACTGGCCAGTCTCTCCTACACAGCACTGGATATGGAGACTGGGAGCCAACGGGAGTCTCTAAACCCAGTACTTGATGGAACCAGATATGGAGCCCAGTCAGCCCTGCTGAAGGATGGGCTATCTGCCCCTTGGTACTTCAGAAGTTTGGAGAAGGGGAAGGGTTCTGGGAATTATACTCAATATCCTTGCTGTGGAAGGAGCAAGAGCTCCACAGGGGCCTGCTTGAGGTATGCACACTCTTTTTTTTTCCCTGTGGTGCAAGCGTTGCTCTGTAGGTGGATTTTATAAGTGGGATATGGGCCCCTTAATACACAGGATTGATCCTCCTGTCAAATGTGGATAATAACAGGAAAAGGAGAGTAGGAAGCAGGACCCATCAAACATAAATACTCTTATTCTTGAAGTACTCCAGGTGCTTCCGTCTGATTGCGATTCTCTCACATCACGGGATGCCATCTCTATAGTTCCTAAAGTTATGTTACTAAATGTGATCTGAGATAAGACAATATGGTTCCACCCAGAGTGGATCCAAAAAAGGCCAATGTTACAGTGACATATAGATACCACTGTAGTAGAAATGCACAAATGCGTGTAACGACCACATGTAGACAGTGAACTCACTGTTGAGAACACCTAAGCTTCCTTCAACATGATAGAATGGTGGAGGGGACTGCAAAGGAGTGATACGGGGAGGAGTGGGTCAAAAGTGCATTATACAAAGGACTGTAGACAAGTCTGAGCTATATAGCAAGTAGTGTTTATAGGCCTAGAATGGGAACATCTCAGAATCTAGGCCTAGGATACTAAGGACAATCATGATTGGATAGGAGGGCAACAAACACATCCCTAGGTAAAGGAGTATAAATACAGACCTCTTTGCTTTACAAAGAGAAAACACAAAAACACCAAAATATGGTAACTTTGGCTTGGCAATACATGTCTAAAGTATTTTGCTGTGTAGGATATGGTAAAGGAGGGATTAGGAAACTCTCTTCCTTTTGCACTATTAACAGAACTTGAGATTCTGCAATAGATTCCTCTGTGCCGTGACTTTTCAAATCATTCTGAAACACTTGAAGTCCAAGATCTTTCTCCTCTAGAATCTTGGACAGGAAAAGACTTAGTCTTCATCATTCCCAAGTAGAAAGCCCAAAAGAAATTGGATGGCACGCTGGCGGTCACTTGGCGTCTGTCTTGCCACGAGGTTGGGTGGAGGTCTTAGGAGAAGACTAGTGAAAAGAGTAGCTAGAGGGTAAGAGAAAGAAAAAGGGAAACCTTTTATCAGACATGACCTAAGCAAAACCTCAGGGTTGGGCAGGGGGCAGAGGACAAGGACAGTAGGAGTGGAGGTGACTGTCATGTACCTAAACATCCAGTAAGGTATACACTATGCAGAATGCACACAGATTATCCTCCCCAAACACCCCTGTGCAGCCACTCTCATGAAGCACTCTTACCAATCATGTTGGCATTGACATTGTTGTATTCAGAGAATTTTAAGAGTTCTCGAAGGAATGCCATCAAGTAACGGAAAACATTTCTATGGCATCTTGGAAGCTGGGAAATTACCTGTTTTTAGAAAGGGGAGTAAGCAGAGAGGAAAACAGGTAGAAGAAAGCTTATAGGCCCCATTGTCTCATTATCCTCTATTACTTACTCATGACCAACATAATACTTGCCAAAGTGTATCTTTGAAGTAAGAATGGTCACAGTTTGGTCCTTGTCTGCTCAACGACCAGGCCATGTAGTCATCACAGACCCACCCACAGTGCCTCACGAGAAGATAAGTATTTATCTGCTCTTTTCAGTCTTCCCCAGACAGGTAGCCAAGGCACCTGCCAAGCTGGGTGGTTTTCTCTACAATGTCACTTGGCATTAATGGAGACCTCCTCCCAAAACTCATTAGTCTGATTCATAGGTAGCCTCGGCTATTGTGCATCAAAATCATTTCAAGATTAAAACATGCCAAGAAGAAAAAAAAGAATGGCTCCTGTCACCCTCCCTTCTAGGAAATGACATCCAGAATTGCATGTGCAGTCAGTTTCACTAATCTTACCCTAGCTTCCACCCAATTATGTTTTCTGTAAACAGAAATAGGCTGACAGGAAAAGGTGGCAAATATAACAGCAAATAACAGAATCTTAAAATTTAAGGGTCTCAACTCTTAATGCTGGTGTCCTGTCATGAAAAACAGACCCAGGTCCATCCTACCATACAGCTGCCTGACTATGTGGCTTTGTGTAACTGACGACTTCTCTATGGGGAAACCTGCCCCAAACACATCTTCAGATCAATAAAACTCACCTGTCGGCAGACCCGAGGATCATGAGCAGAGTCAAGACATCGCTGATACAGCTCGTAACAGATGACTGGCTCAGGCAGGGCTTCCAGAAAAATTAGCAGTGCCTCAGCCACAGAGTGATTACTGCCAGCTGAATCATCGTGAGTTAAGGGGAAGGGGCTCCAGAGAAAGGCCATGCAGAGACCTGATGGCTCCCTTCCTCACACCTCTGCAGGGAGGCTTTTCCTCCTCTTGTTTGGGCACACTGATCCTAACTGGGGTTTGGTATTTATTGGTCCATGTACTCTACAGCTGAGTTGTTACAGAACTGGCCAAATTCTCTTGGGAGGATTAGCCCAATTTATGACTCAGGACAATATAGCCTGCAGAATGATAGTTTCCACTAGACTAGTCCTGTAAACTAATTGCCGTGTTTACCATCTTTCCTTCTGCCCTAATGACAGTACACGGGCAGGGACAGGAGTGACTGATTGGCTGAAGGAGAACATTACCAGTGCTGTGTCTCCTACATTCCAGGCTTATTAAAGTTGTTGGGAGGCTGAGATTGGGAGGATCACAGTTTGAGGCCAGCCTGGGCAAACAGTTTGTGAGATGCTCATCTCCAAAACAACCAGAGCAAAATGGACTGGAGGTGTGGTTCAAGTGGTAGAGTACCTGCTTTGCAAGCGTTCTACAAGTCCCACCAAAAAAAAAAAAAAAAAAGGTGTTGTTATTGGGCAGGGTGTGGTGGCGGCTCACGCCTGTAATTCAGCTACTCAGGAGGCAGAAATGAGAAGGATCAAGGTTCAAAACTAGCCTGGGTAAAAAGTTAACAAGACTCTATCTCAACCAATAAGCTGGCATGGTAGCATACACATGTGGTCCTAGCTACAGGAGGAATAGGTAGGAGGATTGCTATCTGACGCCAGACCGAGGCAAAACCACAAGACCCTATCTGAAAAATAGCTAAAGCAAAGAAGGACTAGGGGTATGGGCTCAAGTGGTAAAGCACCTTGCCTATAAAGCATGAGGCCCTGAGTTCAAATCCCAGTACCTCCCCCCACCAAAAGTTGCTGTTACCTACCCTACCTTGATTCCTTTTAGTAATAGCTTGAAAAGAGAGGTCAAAACTTCCTGTAGGGGATTGAGAAACAACTGGATAAACTGGATAGTTAGTGAATATCTTATAATAAAAGACAGTTACAAAGATAAATATAGAAACACAAAAATCAAGCTGGCAACATGGCTCAAGTGAGGCCCTGAGTTCAAACCCCAGTGCTGTCAACACCCCCCCCCCGCCCAATCCATAGCAGACAGCATTATTGGGAGGCTCAAAGCTCAAGATAATATCTATTGCCTGGCACCAGTGGCTCTAGCTAGGTACTCAGGAGGCAGAGATCAGGAGGATCACAGTTTGAAGCCAGCCCAGGCAAATAGTTCATGAGACCCTATCTTAAAAAAACCCATCACAAAAAGGCTGGTGGGAGTAGCTCAAGGTGTAGGCCCTGAGTTCAAGCTCCAGTACTGAAAAAAAAATCCACAAAAATCAAATGTAGTTGGGGAAGTACCCATCCAGCTTTCTAAGCTTTGGGCAGAAAGGATACGGATTGTCTCAGGAATGCTGGTATCCAGACAATCAATGATCTGCTGTAACTCTTCTTGCATTCCAGGGGTTTGGAACAGGTCCTCCTACCAAAGAAGTCAGAATGAAGTGAACAAGGTAATATAACCACCCCCGAGGTTCTGGAGATTGTTCAGGGATCAGGACGACAGCAGGAAGAAAAAGGAAAGGGTAATATGTGTATTAAGATTAGGGATGGGTGAGTGAAAATAGCACTGTTTTCCTGTATCATCTCTATAATCCATGTGAAACTTTATTTTAAATAAGAAAATGATCTCCAATAGTTCTAGCATATCCCTGATAAGATAGGGAACTACATGGCCAGATTAGGAAGCCAGGTGTGTTTGTTCCACTTAGAGCCTCTGGACAAGAAGGTGCAGTGCAAACAGCATAAACACATTCAAATACGGACAGTACTGAATGCTGTGGAAGGAGTAAGTGGCATATTCATGATAAACTTTGCTTTCAAGTTATATTGGTCTTCAGTAGGTCCGGGAACATCACCCTTCAATTTCGTCCAAGAAAGTTCTCTTTTCTGGAGTAATGAGTTAGGGGTGGTGTGTTTTGATACGATTGCAAAAAAAACTTAGTATAAGTTTAAAAAGTAAGCTTGAAGTTTGATTTGGACTTTAAAAATCTACAATGGCTACATGACAGTTAAAGTAGGCATTGCAGAGTTGGGTACTCAGTTGTACAGTGAGAGAGTTCAGAATTAAAAACATACACATTCTCAGTTCTGCTCCTGGCTCTGCCACCAGAGCACAGTCTTAGGTAAATCACTTAGCTCGCATGCTTTTAGCTGTTCGCTTCTACCACCAGGCAGTCTCATAGGGCTGCTGTGTGGAGGCTTTTTGGGAAAGTTAAAAGCACCATGCTGATGTGAAGTGTTATGATTTCCTATAGGACTCAAGTACATCCTGAAGTTGCAAGAAGATCTACTTACTCACTTACCTGGTGACAGGCACATCTGAATAAGTGATCTACTAAAAGCCAGATCTCCTTGGGGACCTGAAGGGGTCTCTCATTGGCACCTTCATCCAAGGGAACCATCTGCAGAAGGGATTTCTCCTAATAGATGAAAAGGGATGAGAATCAAAAAGGTCTCCCACAAATTCTACTTATGCAGGTACAAGGTGATCTTCATCAAGACTTTTTTCGTTTTTTTCTTACTGGGGACACCTCTGGTCTGAAGGCACTCATTGATTCCCACAGTAAGGAAAGGGTCTCCTTTCCTAAACGTTTGCTTTATTCAATCATTAAGCATTTCATTTGGGTTTAGTTTATCATGTGGATGCATCCCGTGTCAGATCCTTTCAAAGGTGACACTGAAAACCAGCACCCCAGTGACATAGTCACAGTAGGGTACACACACTAACAGTGACTTTAAACTATTAAATCATAATTGTCAGAAAAGTACTTTGAAGGACCACGTCTGTATGTAGATTTCTGCTCACTCTTCCTTCAGTTCTTGCCACAAATACTACTGTTTTCATTTTTGCTTTAATTGAGGTTCTTTGGTTCTCAGGAATTAAAGACAACTCTCATTAGACCCACATACATGAATATTTCAGGCTTGCTAGAAGTTCTAATCTTAAGGTTCTAAAATTCATAGGACTTAAGATCTGAAAATAGCAAACTGGAATATAGCAATTGAAGAGCCAAAAATAACATGAAAAATCTACAGTCCAATGAAGCTATTGTTTCTATGAACAGCTCAGCAAAGACTTCTAGGGGCTTTTATTTCTTTTACCTACTTTTCTACTATCTGTTAGATTCTTCTGAAAGAACACAAGAGAAAAATCCAGAAATGACAAAAATTATATCAGTAACTAAATTTGAACCTGAAAATGCCTAGGAAATAAATTCAGTTATCCCCCAAGCACTCAAGAAAACCCAATTCAGTTATCTATGTTTGTGCACTGACATATAAATAGAATAAAAGGTATCTGAAGGCAGCCTTCAGAAAAATCCTAGTGGAGAAAACCATGATCAATTTTTTTTGCATCCTCCCCTCTCCCCCACCTCCAGGTCATATATTACATATGCTCAAATTTAGGAAATTCTTGCCCAACACTACACAACCTGAAATTCCATGCACAACCTCCAGACATGTAGCTTTAAGGGAAATAAAATATGCATTTCAGTTCTTTCCCAGAGCTGTATACTACAGCAGCGTTGAAGTCTTTTCTTAACATTGTGTTCTTTAATAAGCACTGATGACCTTTTAAAGCTGCTGTGTCTTTCTAAGAGAATAAGGAAGAGAAGGGAGCATGACAGTTGGTTACCACTTAACATATCTTTCTATTTTTTATTTATTTTTTTTTGTCTTTTTTTTTTCCTTTTTCTTTTATTATTCATATGTGCATACAAGGCTTGGTTCATTTCTCCCCCCTGCCCCCACCCCCTCCCTTACCACCCACTCAACCCCCTCCCCCTCCCCCCCAATACCCAGCAGAAACTATTTTGCCCTTATTTCTAATTTTGTTGTAGAGAAAGTATAAGCAATAATAGGAAGGAACAAGGGTTTTTGCTGGTTGAGATAAGGATAGCTATACAGGGCATTGACTCACATTGATTTCCTGTGCGTGGGTGTTACCTTCTAGGTTAATTCTTTTGATCTAACCTTTCTCTAGTACCTGGTCCCCTTTTCCTATTGGCCTCAGTTGCTTTTAAGGTATCTGCTTTAGTTTCTCTGCGTTAAGGGCAACAAATGCTAGCTAGATTTTTGGGTGTCTTACCTATCCTCACCCCTTCCTTGTGTGCTCTCGCTTTTATCATGTGCTCATAGCCGAATCCCATTGTTGTGTTTGCCCTTGATCTAATGTCCACATATGAGGGAGAACATACGATTTTTGGTCTTTTGGGCCAGGCTAACCTCACTCAGAATGATGTTCTCAATTCCATCCATTTACCAGGCAATGATAACATTTCTTCTTCTTCATGGCTGCATAGATTCCATTGTGTATAGATACCACATTTTCTTAATCCATTTGTCAGTGTGGGCATCTGGCTGTTTCCATAACTTGGCTATTGTGAATAGTGCGCAATAAACATTGAGTGTGCAGGTGCCTTGGAGTAACCTGTGTCCACAGTCTTTTGGGTAATATCCCCAAGAGTGGTATTACTGGATCAAATGTAGATCGATGTCTAGCTTTTTAAGTAGCCTCCAAATTTTTTCCAGAGTGGTTGTACTATCTACATTCCCACCAACAGTGTAAGAGGGTTCCTTTTCCCCCGCATCCTCGCCAACACCTGTTGGTAGGTGGTGTTGCTGATGATGGCTATTCTAACAGGGTGAGGTGGAATCTTAGCGTGGGTTTTAATTTGCATTTCCTTTATTGCTAGAGATGGTGAGCATTTTTTCATGTGTTTTCTGGCCATTTGAATTTCTTCTTTTGAGAAATTCTGTTTAGTTTACTTGCCCATTTTCTTTTTTTTTTCATTTTTCTTTTATTATTCATATGTGCATACAAGGCTTGGTTATTTCTCCCCCCTGCCCCACCCCTCCCTTACCACCCACTCCACCCCTCCCGCTCCCCCCTCAATACCCAGCAGAACTATTTTGCCCTTATCTCTAATTTTGTTGTAGAGAGAGTATAAGCAATAATAGGAAGGAACAAGGGTTTTTGCTGGTTGGATAAGGATAGCTATACAGGGCATTGACTCACATTGATTTCCTGTGCGTGGGTGTTACTTCTAGGTTTAATTCTTTTGATCTAACCTTTTCTCTAGTTCCTGGTCCCTTTTCCTATTGGCCTCAGTTGCTTTTAAGGTATCTGCTTTAGTTTCTCTGCATTAAGGGCAAACAATGCTAGCTAGTTTTTTAGGTGTCTTACCTATCCTCACCCTCCTTGTGTGCTCTCGCTTTTATCATGTGCTCATAGTCCAATCCCCTTGTTGTGTTGCCCTTGATCTAATGTCCACATATGAGGGAGAACATACGATTTTTGGTCTTTTGACCAGGCTAACCTCACTCAGAATGATGTTTCTCCAATTCCATCCATTTACCAGCGAATGATAACATTCGTTCTTCTTCATGGCTGCATAAAATTCCATTGTGTATAGATACCACATTTTCTTAATCCATTCGTCAGTGCTGGGCATCTTGGCTGTTTCCATAACTTGGCTATTGTGAATAGTGCCGCAATAAACATGGATGTGCAGGTGCCTCTGGAGAACAGTCCTTATTGGGTATATCCCCAAGAAGTGGTATTGCTGGATCAAATGGTAGATCGATGTCCAGCTTTTTAAGTAGCTCCAAAATTTTTGTTCCAGAGTGGTTGTACTAGTCTACATTCCCACAACAGTGTAAGAGGTTCCTTTTTCCCCCACATCCGCGCAACACTGTTGTTGGTGGGTTGCTGATGTGGCTATTTCTAACAGGGGTGAGGTGGGAAATCTTAAGTGTGGTTTTAAATTTGCATTTCCTTTATTGCTAGAGATCGGTGAGCATTTTCATGGGTTTCTGGCCATTTGAATTTCTTCTTTTGAGCAAAGTTCTGTTTAGTTAAACCTGCCCATGTTCTTATTGTCATTAGTTTTGGAGATTTAGTTTTTAAGT